GTGGCCCGAATTCCTCGAGGCAGTCTGATCTCGAAATTTGTTGGCCCGCACCACGAGTTATCGCCACCTCCGCGAGTGGGACGGATTCAACCCCGTAGAGAACATGGTGTCGCGGCTCCGATTCGCCATGGCAGAACCTGGCAAGCCGACCGGCAAAGACGATTGTTGCGCCAACAAAATACGCGGGATCGGCCGCGCGTTCACGAGCAAAAAAGAATCGGGACCAGTCTGGGCCCGGGGCATTGTCGCTAGGACCCTCTCTCTCTTTCTCTCTCTTTCTCTCTCTTTCCCTCTCTCTCTCTCTCTCTCTCTCTCTCCCTCTCTTTCTCTCTCTTTCTCTCTCCCTCTCCCTCTTATGTACGTATATATAACCGGCGAGTTTGAGAACACAATGCACCATAAATCAGCGATCATCTCGCGTCCCCTCGCGACGATTCACGCGGAACGCGTGGGCGGCTCGCGCGCGCGCCCCAAATCTCCCGAATCGCGTATCTTATCGTCGATTTTCCATTCTTTACGAGCGGCGATAAGCAAGCCAAAAGGCTGTCCGGTGTAACAGGGACGATTGTGATTCATGCTCTCGTGCTCGACTTGCTTTCAGCATAAGCGACTCGCGCCGCGCGACCGCTGGTAATTAGACCGGCGATCTTTATGCGTTTACACTGCTCACGAAATTTTCATTCTTATCTAACACGTTGACTGCTGCGTCGGCCACGTACCGGTGACGCTAATTTTTAACTAGTTTACCACATTCATTTTCATCGTAATGTATTCGAACGAACGAAATTTTGTACGCATAATATGCAATGTACGCATTGCGCATTAGATTAAGATCCACAAATTGTAAAAAGGTTAAACAAGTAATCTGTATCATACGTGTTATTCTTTATAATTTCAATTTCATTGAATTAGATTTTAAAGTTTTATGACATTTTTGAGATTTATTAGATTAAAAAATGCTTTGTAAAGAAAGAACAAATTGCTTTGTTTTCAATGAAATTGCTGTCTTTCGAGTGCGAAACAGTTCTGGCAAAAGGTTACATACTGGATTCTACTAATGTTTTTAATATCGTAGAGCTGATGCAAAATGTTTAAACGAATTAGAGGCAGGGTTGTTGGACGTTCGCGTTTCTGCGCGCGTATGGTCGCCGGCATTATACATGTAAACAGATAGACGTGCATGTAGTTCGCAAATAACCGAAACGTATTCCGATTTGTATTCACCGGCTGCGCGGACCCAATCATTCTATTTGCCGGTGGATGAGACGAAATGAAATGAAATCGAGAAATTCGGGTTATTCTACTCGCGAACACGTCAGCTTTATTACTTTCATAATAATCATCCGCTTCCTCTTCGGATAGTACGACGAATGAATATTTGATTACTCTCTCGCGAACGGTTCTCGCAGCTGAAAAACGAATTTTAGTTTTCAGCGAACTGATAACGTTTTTTTTTGTTAAATATAAAGACACTTAGACGTAGAGCTGTTAGAATAATCGCGAAAAAATCGATCTATAAACAACTGAAGTAGCTTGGAAAAATTCCTTTAACGGTCTAATCCATTTTTTTCATTCATTAAGCAACTTTTCGATAGCGATACTTTCATGTGCTAACGAGAAAATTGGCACGAGCATAACCTAAGAACACTTTCTTTTGGAATTGATATTGAAAACGAGTTAGATTGTTTTTATTGCACCATTGTTCTTAATAGAAATACGCAAGAAAAAGCATGAAGTTCAATACGGTTTTAAGAAATTACTATAACTCGATCAAAGATTGTACCAGCGGTAATTTCTTAACTTTAGAGAACTTAAATTAAAACTGGAGGAATGCACTTCGTGATAGACTTCTTTTAATTTGTAGGAAAGTTCTAGATCATATCGAAAAATTAATAAATCTCGACCGGGGTAACACAGAGAAAAATGATTCAATTTTTGAGGAACAATTCGAACCGATCTTACAATGTACATATTCGCATGAGAATTTTCAAACTTTATTAGTCTTAAATTGAAGCTAGAGAAATGTACTTTATGATAGGTATGTTTTTGTTTAGAAGAAATTATGAAATCGCTTCGGAAAAATGAAAAATTCTGACTAATAATCCCAAGAAAAATGATTCGGTTAATTCTAATTGATTTAAAAACAGTAGCCGTGAAAATTTTCAAGTTTTTGAGAACGGAAATTGAAGCTGAAGAAACGCACTTTATGATAGGTTTACTTTGATTTACAAAAGAATTCTAGATCACGTTGAAAAATCGAGTTTTGAGGTTCTATAATCACGCGCGCACCATTACGTTTATTGATGCCGGTGTCGCTGTTTTATTAAATGATTAATTATTACACTGTATTTAACAGCTTGTATAATACTACAGGCGCGTACGTGCAATTATTTTAATGAATTGTATTTCTAGATTAATCACCAAGGGTCTGAGGGCTGTGCTCTTATTGATGCATTTTGATCCTTGTTAGCTCGAATAAAGTATATCTTATAACTAATTCTTACTAACGTAATAAAGTATCTTGTATACTTCATTCTCACTGTAGACAATTAAGGGGCTAGGATAGTCACACACATGATTTTACGGATTCAACAGGTCGATGTCTGTTCAACAGATTTCGTTATATGAATGATATTATCTAGAGATGTGTAGCAGCTTGATAAATACGAGATGGAGCCACCGGCGTTCTCTATTAGGAATGAAAAAGAAACTCAATTCAAATAGAAATACTCCGGATCGAGAAAAGCAGTGACATTTTCTTATAACTTTTGAACTATTCGAGGAATTATTGCAATAAAATTTTCACTAAAAATATTTAAAAAATAATCATTCTTAACTTGAGGTAATTAAATATTTTTTACATTTGTTAAGCAATAATTTTTAATTAATTTTGATTGATATTTTTGATAAATATGGAAAATAAATCTTGAAAACAATTTTTGATTTAATTGTCAACATTTTATTAAAGTATGAAAGAACGTGATTTTCGCGGATGTTAACACGCGTACTTGGTATATGATTAACATCTACGTGAAAGTGGATTACCTAATATTTATGCTTCGAAAGTTTTTCTTTATCTCGAGTTGTGTTAGTTAATTTTGTTTAAACATTGGATAGTAAAACAGATAAGAGAGTACTAAAAGGTTTCATTAGGAGAAAATAATAAATGTATCAATAGAATATTTTTGATGTAACGCGATTCTTCGATAAATTCGTGTTTTAAATATCACTTTGTATGTTTGACGTTATCAATTACTTCCCTTATGAAATGATACGACTAAATAACTACGGGAGTATTTAATAATATTATTAGCAAGTAGAGTTTTCGTAAAAATATTAAACATCGAAAAGCAATCAATTTATTAACGAAGCTCGTCTGCTGCAACAATTTCCCGAAACAATCGTGCTCGAAAAATTACTGCATATGTCTTATTCTATCGGTTATTTTCACTAACAAATTAAATGGCAAAATAGCCAGTGGGATGCTTGATCATACTTCTAACAAACAGAATTGTTATAAATATTAAGAAGCGAGAAATAGTAAATATATTAACGAAAGAAATTCGATTTAATAACTAAACGATCGATTTGTATAATTAAAAGTCTTTTGTTAATTAAATCTCGTTGGTATTTTTAGATGACGCTTTTCTCTTGGGCGAGTTATCATGCGGCGTGGTGATTCAAACATGGACCTTCCTCCTGGGGCGATAAACGCACGAAGCCCAGTTCCGCTCATTGGCTCGGCGCCAGCTGATATCGCCTCTCATTGGTCACTGTTTTTCGTTAATAACTCGTAAACCAAACCGTGGATTGTATTTTCGCTAAGGAAAATGTTACTTCAAATGACCACAGAAATCCACCATTTCCGGATTGTGGGACATTTATGGAATACACTGTATATTACGTCACATTATCACTTGTATTTTACAACTAGACGCTCTATAAATTTCTTTGTACAACATAGTAACAAAATATAAGCTAGTATAATTTAGTTTTCGGGGTTCATCCATTCATCCCAATCTATTGGGATTCACAGTCTATCCGATTCCACGTTGAGAATCTTTCTACTTAGGCGCCACCTTATAAATATCAATGTAACTAAACTTGTCAAATTTTTTGCTCTATATTATCGATATCATAAGTTTTTATGCCAAAACGGTATGGTTTTACGGGATAACACTTGACTACCTTAAATCAGCATCTTTTTCGATATTTATTAGTATTATTCGAAAAAGGAAGGTTCAATGTAGTACGCAAATGTCAGATTTTCATTGACAAAAATCATCCAGTGGTATAAAACTGCTTGGAATCCATGGCTTCGTCACCATAAATTTTCACCTTACTTTCTAAAACTTATATTACCAAATATCCTCATAATTCTCATGAAATCTGACATTTTCGCACTGTACTAAACCTTCCTTTTTCGAATGATACCAATAAACATCGAAAAAGATGTTGATTTAAGGTAGTTAAGTGTCACCCTATAAACCCATGTTTTCGTCCCATTTTGTCGGTAACTGTGACCTCTATCGTTATCTCTTCCCTAGGGAGTCTAGGTCCTTTGCTTTGGTGGCAATATTGATTATGCTCTCGAAGAACATTCTTCCTTTGCTTTCCACTACATTTCAGCAAATAATTCGTTAGCTGAAGAAGATGCTGTAATCAGTCGGAAAATATGTAGAGTCTAGGATTAATCTACTTATACCTTATCTGTGATAATATGTATGTATGTACATCGGACATTATACGGACACTACACGGGCGTTTTTTAAAACATAGCAATTTCCTGCAAGTGTTTATCTACATGCATAAGCCATAAACATATTTACAAGAATCGAAAATGCAAATAACGTAATGTTCAAATCATGATCTGCTACTTAATCTTACTGATGAATCGAATAACAAAGTTGAGACGGAACGCCTCCTTTTCCTCCAATGAAAGTCAAATTTCAAATAAACCGCCATAAGATTATTGCTAATGTATGTAATTTCATTAGATAATTTGACAGGCGCATACTTATTTGGCAGACTGATGACACTACCATTAGTATTAGCACTGTGACATGGCATTAGAAGACAAATAATGATGGTTCACGTATAAAATATGCTTTCCCGTGATGATGTGTTCGTAAAGAATGTGTCATTCAAATAAAAATCTCGTGCGGAAGGTGCAAATGCGCGCGCAGAACACAATCGTGCCGGAATTACAGACCGACCTAACCTAGCTAACCTCATAGTGAAATCTATATAGCATATGACGTATGTTTCTCGTGGAAGTAATTATTTAACCGTGTTTAGAGGTACGAAGAAAATTAAAGAGCAGGAAATATGACAGCGGAAAATGTAGATATCGATAGATTAACCATAAACGGAACTACAGATGATGAGGATGTCGTTACGCCCTGGGATGTTGAATCCAAGAACGATAGTGGAATTGACTATGATAAATTGATTAGTGAGTTTCACGAGGATTATATTTTATCGTGTATCATTCTCTTAATAATTGTCGTTCTGTTCGTTTCAACAAAAACAACTTTCATTTATTATCTTAATGTATGAGATTTTCTTTTCTGGGAGAAGCTTACATTTAACTGTATTCGTATCATAGTTTATAGTTTTTTATCATGGGCCTTCTCTTCTTCTAGAAAGATTTGGAAGCTCGAAAATCGATGAAGAGCTATTAACTAGATTCGAGAAGATCACTGGCCAAAAGCCGCATCATTTCCTAAGAAGAGGAATATTCTTCTCACACAGAGACATGAATACTATTTTAAATTTATATGAACAAGGAAAACCATTTTATCTTTACACTGGCAGAGGACCTAGCTCAGACTCTATGCATTTAGGACATCTAGTGCCGTTTATGTTTTGCAAATGGTTACAGGATGCATTTAATATACCATTAATCATACAATTGAGTGATGACGAGAAAGCCATATGGAAGAATCTAAAGATAGAGGATGCTATTAAACTGTCTTATTCCAATGCAAAAGATATCATAGCTCTTGGTTTCAAACCAGACAAAACTTTCATCTTTTCTAATTTAGAACACATTGGAAATAATCCAGCATTTTATCAAAATATGATTAGAATTCAAAGGGGTGTTACATTTAATCAAGTAAAGGGTATCTTTGGATTTGGTGATAGCGATCCCATAGCAAAAATAGCATTTCCACCTACCCAAGCTGCTCCAGCAATTTCCAGCACATTTCCCTTTATCTTCAAGAATGCAAAAGTCCATTGTTTGATCCCATGTGCTATTGATCAGGATCCTTATTTTCGAATGACAAGGGATGCTGCGCCAAAGATTGGCTATCCAAAGCCTGCTTTGCTGCATTCTGTATTCTTCCCAGCTTTACAAGGCTCTAAAACAAAAATGTCTGCCAGTAGTGATAATAGTGCAATATTCTTGACAGACACAGCAAAACAAATAAAGAACAAAGTTAATAAACACGCATTCTCAGGTGGACAGGCTACTGTCGAAGAACATAGACAATTAGGAGGCAATTGTGACATTGATATATCTTATCAATGGCTAAGATTTTTCCTGGAAGATGATGACAAATTAGAACAACTTAGGAAAGTAAGTCCAAAAAATTTAAGTAAGATTGCAACATTTACTCAATTCTTCTAATTCAATTTCCAGGGTTACACAAGTGGAGAAATTTTGACTGGAGAACTTAAGAAGGAACTAATCAATGTCTTGCAATCTTTAGTAGCTGAACATCAAGCAGCTAGAAGTAAACTAACAGATGACATAGTCAGGAAATACATGGTCCCCAGGGATCTTGGTTTTGTAACGAATTCGAAATAATTGCACAAAGATTTCTTATGTACATAAAACACACTTCCACAGAAATTCCTTTTCCATGAATTTATTTAAGTTTATTTATTGAAAAAGTATATTAATAATTGTTCGAACAAAAAAATTTATTTTTTAAAGTTTCATGGTGATAGATTAAACTGCTTTTTGTAAATCACATATTTGATATTTATGTCTATATTCCCTTTTACTTGTATATAAGTACAATCCTAAATTAAAATTTATTTAAACTCATTTATCANCATAAAACACACTTCCACAGAAATTCCTTTTCCATGAATTTATTTAAGTTTATTTATTGAAAAAGTATATTAATAATTGTTCGAACAAAAAAATTTATTTTTTAAAGTTTCATGGTGATAGATTAAACTGCTTTTTGTAAATCACATATTTGATATTTATGTCTATATTCCCTTTTACTTGTATATAAGTACAATCCTAAATTAAAATTTATTTAAACTCATTTATCA